AAAACCTAACCAAACCACGTCCGAATGACTTGAAATTTTACACACACATCCAAAATGACATGACGGAACTACTGCAACTTCTTGAATTCCATTCCGACCCTCGGGATCGAAATCTCACTATCGGACCGGAAACTTCAAAAATTAAACTTCGGCATTTCAAGCCTAAATTAGCTACGGACCTCCAAAACACATTCCGAACACGCACCCAACCCCGAAATCACCTAATGGAGCTAACGGAACCATCAGATTTCCATATGAGGCCGTCTTCACACTATTCCGACTACGGACAACTTTCTAACACTTAAGGTTTTATTTAGGGACTAAGTGTGCCAAAACTTCTCGAAACTCAAAACCGGCCATTCCGACAAATCACATTGGCAGAAATAAACTTGGGGAAAACAGTTAATAAGGGGTCGGGGCATAAATTCTTAAGACGACCGACCAGGTCGTCACAGACAGAAAGAGAGGGCATCAGGGAGAGAGTTTTTGCCAATTTGATTCGTGATATTGGGCTTAGAAATCTATAAAAGCTTGGGCTTGAAAAAATATGAGATGGTCCTAGAAAGAGGAAAAAACATAATTAGGCAATATTTAACAAAAAATTTCATAAATTTAGAGGAATAAGTAATTATAAAACTGACATCTAAATAACTACATTCCTAGCAGAAACATGATCAACCCGATGAAATTTAATTAATGGACCTCTCAATCTTTCCGTACGTTACCCATTTAGCTGATTTATAGGTAAGATTGTACCACCATTAGACCACATTAATATTGTTCATTTCCTATTGCTTTTTCCCTTTTTCTTTTTTCCGTTTTTGATTTACCCCCTTTAATTTGTCTTTTCTCTTAATAAAGAACAATGATTTTCAAGTATGGGAAGTTGTGAACGTGATGGGAGGTTTTCTTTATATATTTACTTTTATGTTGTTTTTATTCTCTTTTCACTCCTAAAAATATCAAGTATAGTTTATATAAGTATATAATAGTTGTATAAATTATATATATATATATATATATATATATATATATATATATATATATATATATGTATATATGTATATATGTATGCATGGGGAGTATGCATAGTTGAATAAATATTATTAATATAATATACCACTTGTATATTAGAACTGTTATACTATATACACCGTATCTAATTGATATATACATATTATATATAATTATTTGGATATGCATAGTGATATATGATGTATTTTTGGCGTATATTTAATTTGATGATTCAGTCTCCGTATATTTATCATATAAATAGTTCATGTATGGAATATATATAGCTGCATAAATATTATTTATATAATATACCACTTGTATATTACTACTATTATATTATATACAACGTATATAATTGATATATATGGAGTATATATATTACTACTATTAATAAGCCGGAATTTGAGCTGCCTCCGATTTTCAGAGAGCTGCATCCGGTTAGAATACGGGTCAGAGGATATGATTGTAATTGCAAAAAGCACAGAGCAATTCTATTGGCCAAATATGCATTTTACTGTAGCTCCTATTAAACATTTTGGTTATTGTTGACCAAGATACCCCGCTGTTATAAAATCCGAAGTTCTTTTGGCCTAATCCCCTTTGCATCTAACATTTATAGGTTTGACACGTGCATCTCTGAAATTATGCACAGTCCATTCCTTTCTTGCGTGACGTGTTAATTTCGGCTTTTAGCTATTTCTTGAAAATTTCATAACAGACAATTAGGAACAAATATGGACTATAACGCGCATAGGGTTTTGCTATATATGAAAATCCTATATATAATCTTAAAATATATTATTAACATGTAAGCTTTCTTTAAACTTTGACTGAATCAACAATTTGCATGTAAAATTCGGTAACTTACAAGATTTGATAATGACCCATTTCGCTTGAAATCAAACCTCACATTAGTTCTTTGTACAAGTTATTAAATGTGAGCAATTTAAAATTCTCCTGACTAAACATACTATTAAACGAATAGATAAAAACTTTTCACATATCTTAAAAATAAATTTTCATACTTAAAATGGGCTAACCAATAGCCGATTTAGTTAACTATGACACTATGAATTATGTGCAAATCTATGCAAAAGAGATGAAAAGTATTTTCTAAATAGCGAAAATTAATACAAATTCAACGACTGGTAACTACATCCAAGTAAAAACATATCAAGCAGTTGCAAAAAGTCAATTCAAGAGTTCAAAACACAATTAGGAAAGAGAGAGAATCAACCTTTTTTTATTATAAAAAAGGAATATATCATATCTTTACTTATTCTAAATTTTAACGTTTACTAACTAAAATATGTAATTTGGCATGAAACATGATTAGCGATGTATAAAATCTTTTAAGGAATAATAGCTGAATCTTTTTTAGACAACTTTAATATTTATTTTCACAAAGGAAAAAATCACAATTCAATGCAATTAGATATTAATTGAAAAATGTGAAATCAAACTTTATAATATATAAAATTAAAACAACGAGCAAGAAAAAGCAAAACACGTGTCTACTGGCTATGGTACCGAATTTTTAACCAGAATTGATGATACATCCTAATTTTTACAAGGAGGATTGACAAGTTCTAGCTTAGGTGATGAGGTGATCAAAAAATTTCCTCCTGCAAATGGACTAGAAACATGAGCGACTCTAATTTAGTCACTTCCTAATAATTTTCTTAGTTACAGTATAGTCTTTCAGCTTATTTTTGTTGTGAAGTAAGTATACAATAATTTTTTTGCAGATCAATTAAGCCCTAACAAGCACAATGCGATATTAGTAATTGTAACATAGCATGTGCAACTTAATTTTGTTTTTATGTAGACCACATTAAAAATACATAATTTTTTCTATCCTAAATTATGTGATGGTATTTGATTGGGTACTCTATTAAAGAGAAAAGGAAAAACTTTTAATGTGTTTTAGAATACATTATAGGCGTTTTCGTAGCTATAAATTATTTCATTAAGAATAAAATATTAATTTTAAAATTTATATTTTTCAATATAAAAGATACTTCTTTTTAGGATAAACCAAATTAAAAAAAAGGTGTTACATAAAAAGGAATGACAAAAGTAAGGACTTAAAAAACCCTACATACACCATGTTGGGCCCGTGCTGAGCACGGGCTTACCTTAACTAGTATATATATATAGTTGAATAAATAGCAGTGTTTTAAAAGGCGGAGGCATGAGGCGAGGCGTTTTACCCGGTATGAAGTGAGGCGAAAGCCCTGAGACACAGGGCGTAAGTCCCATGGATCTTGAATTTTATAATTTGATAATTTATAAAATAATCTTAAAAATATTTTTATATGTGAAAACTACATTAAAAATATGTACATACAATAAAAAAGCATAGGAAAATTATTATAATTGTTTTATAAGTGAATTAACAAACAAATAGCATGGCGATACATTCATACAAAACTTCTACCCCGAGCACACGCAATGGAACCGTAGACAGTCAAGTGAAATCCAATCTACGAAATAATTTGATCTATGGACAACTTCATTGTGGTAAAGTTCATAATGCCAGAGGAATATTTACCTCAGGGCACAGAGGGGGAGGTCATAAGTGTCTATACCGTAAAATCGATTTTCGACGGAATGAAAAAGACAAGGCCAGCTAATGTCCTATAGCGCACTCCCTTTCTTTTGGTATCTTTCGCTTGGAACCTAATCCGCGAAATAGATACAAAAAAGGTGGCAAGTTTTTTCTCAATCGAGAGTCATTTCCCTTAGTGACTGACGAATGGAATCAACCAGATCTTTACCTAAGTTATTTTTTGTTGCTTTCTTTTGTTCCAACGAATATCGTATCTTGCTTCTCTTGTGCCCTCTCTTTCTATCGCAGACCTTTCTTCTTTTTAACTTGAACTCTGGTACACGACCTCCTTTTTACTAGAAAGACCTCTATTGGACTGGGAAGTAGCACGGAAAAGTAAGAAATGCTCATTTGCTAGTTATGTAGATCCTTTGTAAAGTGTATTCCTTCCTTGGTAGTACGGAAAGTCTGTATCTATAAGGAAGTCTCGGGGCTCCCAAGTACACGATTGTTTAGGTGTGTGCTAAAAGCGCTTCCTTTAATGCCAGCCTGTATCTGAACCCCCTTTCCATATCTCGGAGAAGGTATGCAGACTAGGAAAGCAATCGAACATACAAGGCTCTGTACGAGAAGAGCTAACTGGAGTATGCCTGAAACGACAAACGAGGAGTATGAGAAGTAACTAAGCCACATCCTGACAATAGACCAAACAATATAAGGACCAACTTAAATTATCATGGCTATAATATGAATACCTCATGTGCAACAGTAACACAAATAAATGCCAACTTTGCAGATACAAAGACCACTTAACACTGCTTTTACTCTGCTATTAAACATTAAATAGTAATTTGGTATAAATAAAATAATTTGGTTAGAGATACACAAGTTCATAATTAAGAGCTCAACCGGTACTCCATCTTGCAAAAAAAATAAAAAAACACAAATGCACAAAAGCTGTACTATATCAATTCTTCTAATATGTCAAGCACCTCCCTAAACTCCTAGCAAGACTTCATCACCAGTTTTTAGTCATAGATACAATTTCTCTATCAAACGCTATAAAAAATGAGGGTCTCATCAATTTCCACATCTTCCAGTCCTTCATCATCCTCGACTTCCACTGGTTGTTTTTGTAGATCAAAGGAGAAGCAAAAGGTAAAAGTGTTAGTATTTTGACATAACAAATGATAGCATACAACTTTATAAAAATAGTAGTAGAATACTATAACTTACCTGATGATTTTTATTTTTTGTTAGAGGGACCCGATTCACTTGTATCTCTTAAACTCCCAACATCAATGAATGATTCATGTGTAAGATCATTCTCATATGGTGTAAGCGGCACCGTCCTAAAAACTTCAATATCAAATAAATTCTCTTCGTCAAACCAAGAAAGATCTTCTGGAAGCACATGATCTTCTTTTTCAATAATCTATTCATCGTCAGAATCAACTTCATCTACTAGAACTGGATCAAACTTTTGCAATTTTCTTTTTATGCTCCTTTCTCTCAGTCTAGTATTGTACCTCACATAAACAAGAGCGTTTAATCTATGATGCTCAAGTCTATTTCTCTTCTTGGTATGAATCTAGCAAAAATCAGAAAACTTACATTAAATTAAGCCATCATAAACAAAATAATAATAAGAAAATTTATGTAAAAGTATAAACGCTTACCAACTCGAAGGTGCTCCAATTTCTTTCACAACCCGAGGAGCTGCAAGTGAGACTCAAGACACGAATTGCAAATTTAGTCAACTCTGGAGTTTGCCCACCAAAGCGTATCCACCAATCCGTAGGAGATCTCACTTTCCTAGAATCCACAGCTATCTGACATCCAAAATCCCCTTTAAATTGGTCATATGAATCTAACTGAACATCCATTTTAAATCTCTCTTCATAATCCAACATTCTTTCTATACATTGGTACAAACTTTGTTTGACTTCAAAGTTAATAGAAAATCTTTCCTCAAATTGCAATTGCGGATTCAAATAGTACCCCGCAACATGAAGTGGACGACAGAGTTGGCGAGTCCATTTATCATCAATTCTTTTCCAAATGGGAGCATATTTGTTTTCAGTATATCCACAATTCAAAGTTATTTTTTCCTTAGCCCTATGTATCAAATCATACAAATATCCCATGCATGATTTTTCCTCTGAATCTACTTCCCTCAAAACACCCACTAAAGGAGCAACACTTTTCACACAATAAGCAATATATGGCCAAATTTTTTGATCAAACAGAACTATAGCTCTCGTTTTCACCTCCTCGTGTTTCTTAGCCCAAACAGATTTATTCCAAGCTTCAGAAGAAAACATAGATCTAAGAGCTTGTTTTTGCTTTTGAATGCTTTGAAGTGTGAGATATGCTGTAGTAAAGCGAGTAACATCAGGACGAATAAGTTCACGATTATTTGTAAATGATCTCATTAAATCTAACACCCACGTATGTCCATAAATAAATCTCACCACTTTTTTTGCTTTTATAAGTGTGTCTTGATGCATTTTCAGTTTTCCTATGTCTTCTAATAACAGGTTAATGCAATGCGCTGCATATGGAGTCCAATAAATATGAGGCCTGGTTTCCATTATTCTTTTTCCAGCATTAATAAAATTAGAACCATTATCAGTTATTATCTGCACAACATTCTCTTCTCTAACTTCATCTATGATCTTATTTAAATGCAATGCAAGCATTTCACAACTTTTTATAGAGTCCGATGCATCAATAGATCTCAGAAAAAAGTACCCGCGGGACTATTAATTAGAAAATTGATAAAACATCTACTTTTCCATCTGTCCAACTATCAGACATAATTGAACAACCATATTGCTTCCAAGATTTCTTATGTTCATCTAACATCTTGTTAATATTTATAACTTCATCTTTTAGTATCCAAGTTCTTAGCTCATGCATTGAAGGAGTTACAAAACCTGGACCATAATTTGCAACTCTTTCAAATATTGACAAATAGTACGGATTATTTGCAACATTAAATGGTATACCACTTGAGAAGAAAAACCTACCAATTCGCTGACAAACTTCTTTTCCCCCCTCTTTTTTCCATTTAGAGTTCAAAGTAGCTTGTCTTGTTTGAGCACTAACAAAATCATCCAGCGGACCTCTAGCCTTTGGAGGCAAATTTCCCATAGCTGGAGAAGAACCTGATTCGTCATCCATGTTACCACTTCCGGTTGCAACAGCTCGCATTTCTTCCAATGTAGCTTTTCTCATGATTTTTATATTTTTAAGCTTTAGTAATGCTTTCTTGCATTCTTCAGCTACTTCATTCTGTACCTTCGGACAAGACTTTATCCCTTTGTGGGTGCCTGCTAAATGTTGCTTCAATCTGTTAATTGTGCCGCTACTTTGTTGAGTACAGAACTTGCATCGAAAGTATTTCTCATCTGGGGTCATGATTGAATATTTCCATGCAACATCTATTTTGCTTGCATTTATAGAGCCCTCTTCATCCATTGTAACCTTTTAGTTTATTTACAAGAAAAGTGAGATAAGAACATGTAAATTATTAGAAGAAAATAAAAAATATAGGAGAAAATCTACATACAACAGAACATTTTTGAACTTCAAATTCCATAAAATTCCTTTACCAAAAGGGGGAACATTTTTTGTTTCCTGATTTTGCGTTTCTTTATTTCGTTATTTGGATTTTGTACAATAGATAAATCTGAATACTTTTAGTTCTTTATCAATTACTGACCCGGGATCAAGTTGGTATAGAAAGCTGAAGCAAACATGACAATGTCCACAAATCATGGCAAATAACTTTGAATAGGTTTAAGTGTACTGTTGGATTAAGAATTTCAAACAAGCAAATAAAGTAAAATTTTTACAGTAAAGCACCGTTGAATTAAGAATTCCAAACAAGCAAATAAAGTAAAATTTTTACAGTAAAGCACCGTTGAATTAAGAATTCCAAACAAGCAAATAAAGTACTATTGGATTAAAATACAAAAAGAATATTAAATCTCAATCAGTACTGTTGAATTAAAATATAAAAAGAATATTAAATCTCAACCAGTAAAAAGAACTTGGTCATGTCGGATTGAACAAGGAGCAAAATTCATTTATAGCCCATCGACCCAAACATATATCACCCGATAGCCACAAATTGACCCATACAAGTCATAGCCTAAAAACAATAACAAGGGCTAGCAACTGAAAAACCTGAAAGTGGAAGATACACGGCGGAAACTTCTCACACCATATTTATATCCCTCTGCCAGTGATTAAAATATCTTAGCAAGGCAATATCAACGTGGGTAAACGATTGATGTTGAAGATGAAGACGCTGCAGAAGTTGTGTTATTCGAAGAATCAGTGTTATCTCTGTTCACTAAATACTGGATTTGGGCGACAATGATCTCAGGATGATTGGTGTCATAAGATGATGACAATGAAGCAGTTGACATAAACCGCAATGGACTGCAATATGTTGGCACAAGCATGTTTGGAGAGAGGGTGGATGTTTACCGTGAAAATGGTAATAACAATTAAATTTGATTTTGTGGTTCTAAAAATATGTGATCTATTTTTATGCTAGTTATTAGGCAATGGATACTAGAGTAAAAGGTTAGAAGGCAAGATTATAGCTAAAAAACGATGTAATAGTCAAACCAAACGGCTGGAGATCGGGGCCTCGAGTTGTCGTATACGAGGCCTCGAGGTCGAGTTGGATGCCCGGCTTGGAGCAATTGAGGGAGGACTAACAGTTATGTGAGCTAAGACAATGAATCTTTATGATCAATGATAAGCAATAAATGAAGAACAATAACTAGAACACAATAAATATAAGCAATAAATGGGAGTAATGAAAGCAAGAGAATATGTTAGAGAGCAAAAAGAATGTTCTTGTGTATTCAATATTGAGCATTAGATGACTACAAAATGACAAGGATCCCCTTTATATACGGGGAGGGAGGGGGGAGTAGGGAATTCCAACATAGTACAAATACATTTATTATAAAGATATGGAGCTGGTACAACCAGTTAGTGCTATGATGCGAGCTTAGACTAGCCTGACAGACTTTGTTGGCTCTAGCTACGCGCCTTGGGAACTTCCCACTTTTTCACCATAACCGCTAATCTATACTACCATGAGGTCGGGCATCGGTAGCCCCTCGGGGGTGAATCTCGACCAAGCCTCGAGCCTTTGAAAACGTGCTGACGAGGCATCATAATAATGAAAAATTGGACCCTCCGATTTTACTGTATATAGATAGTCCCCGCATTTCTTAGAGTGGAACGATAAGAAACGACTTCTATATCCATCTCTTCGATCTTCTTGTGATGATGTCATACTTATGACGTGAGCTTATGTGATAACCGAGGCGTCCCTTCGGTTCATCTTTCCAAAATCATTCAATACACTGCCAGTTCTTATTCTTCAAAATGATAATGTCGCCGCCGGTCCAGCTCCCAAAAACGCATTGATTGAGCCTGCCGATACGTCTTTGAAAGACATTGATAGCGCCATCGGTTACGCTTCTACCCTTTCTATAAATGAGAGCCTCCTGAAACTAATTCTTCATTCAAATGCACTTCAACAGCCTTTCACCCCTTTCTTCTTTTCATCCTCATCCATTATTATTTCCTATGTTTGAGGCCTGTGGCCTTAAAGTTACTTGGCGACATTCTCATCAGTTACGCCATGGTATTTTTCCAGGGCTTTTCCTTACCGAGCGAGATTGTACTGATTTGTTATTGTTGTTGTTGTTGTTGACTCGAGATGATGAGAGAGAAATCTCAAATTATCCTCGCATTAGAGGATATGCGGACTATGAACTCCTACTCATCTCTCCTAACTACCCGGTGCGGAGCCTCACACCTTTTGCTTTCCGTGGAGTGAGGCAGTACTATCTGCTAACCGTTGCATCCTGCATCGGTGCAATGTCTCAAGAAGTGGCTTCACAGTAGTAGTGCTGGCGAAGTCCATACTAGCCAGATTTTTCGCCCAGCCACTTCTTCATCCCTTTCTGCTTCTTCTGCATCACTTTCCTCTTCTCCATCACTTTCCTCTTCTCCATCTTCTCCCTAGGAGATGCCATTTTGGAAGATCGATATGAGACCCCCGAGGAGATGGTGCTCGAAGATACTGCCACCGAGGATGCACCCCCGAGAATAGATTAGGCTCTTGGTTTTTACTATATGTGTACTTTTTTGCTTTTTTATTTCTGTGTAAGGACCCCTCGTGAGCTTTTGTAATCATGTGTAAGGATCCTTCGTGGTCTTTTGTAAAATGTGCTTATAAATACAAAGATGTTTCTTCAACTTGTCTCTGATTTATGCTATATTTCCTTTTATCTGCGTTTGTGAAGAATCTGAATGCATGACTCTACCAATTGGTGCGAATATTGAGCCCGGGTGCAAGTATTTTTTCTATCTTTTGATTGATTAACACGGCTCCCCATAGAACCCTTTGTCATTCTTTGGACTGAGCCCGAACTAGATTGATAAACTCGGGTCGTCGAGACCCCGATTTCGGGTTGAATGAGAGTAGGGCTTCGAACTCTCAGAACGAGACTTAGCCTTTCAGACCCCGCGATAGTCTTCGAGGGGGGATTTGCTTGGATGCCTGAGAATAAAGATAGCCTCTAGGCTTTCGAGAGCCGTCCCCGAGTGGGGGTTTGCTCAAGCTCGGGGGACCTGGAAACTTGTTTTGAACTTAGTGTAGATAGCCTTAAGGAGTTGCAGATAGATTCCGAATGAGGGATTACCTGGTTTTAGATGGTACCTGGGTTAAAGTAATCGAGAGGATGATTTTAACTCGACTCGAGGGTTCAGGTATCACGAGGGTCGGAGGGTCAGATAAATGGCCTGTACTTGCAATAGCAGAAATCCTTGAGATAGGGTAACACCTCGAGGCCAAGCCCATATGAGTAGGTTTTCAGAGCTTATCTTCTTTTTGGGAGAGGTCCTCGAGATCAGGTACCATCTCGAGTCTCGTAATGATATTAATGTCTCCTTAGAGCCTATCTTCTTCTTGATAGAGGACCTCGAGATCGGGTACCATCTCGAGGCTTATGATGATGTCAATGGATCCTTGGAGCATATATTCTTCTTGGTGGAGGTCCTCGAGATCGGGTACCATCTCGGGACTTATAATGATGTCAATGGCTTCCTGGAACCTATCTTTTTCTTGGTGGAGGTCCTCGAGATCGGGTACCATCTCAGGACTTATAATGATGTCAATGGCTTTCTGGAGCCTATCTTTTTCTTGGTAGATATCCTCGAGATCGGGTACCATCTTGGGACTTATAATGATGGGGGAGGGGGGGTTTCGACATGGTTATGAAGCGACCAAGGCAATTCCGTTGGTACATCTTCCCAAGTGAAAAATGACTTAGTCAGCATTTTTAATTGGCTTTTGAGGCAGGTGGATAGTTACCGCTTTCTCCACATATAGGGTTGTATTCCTTCTTTTGAGGATTCCGCTATTCCGAGCAGTTATCCTCCTTTATAGAGTTCTTCTTTCCTACGTTAGGCCCTTCGTTATTTCAATCTTGACACCCTTGCTCGAATTTCTGCTCCAATTCTCTAGTTTTTCCATAGTCATGGCTGCTACGTCAGGCTCCGCTTGGCAAGGAGAAAGGAGTTCCGCCTCTGATTCCTGTCTGGTTGGCGGTATGCCGTCGGTGCCAGGCGAGTCATCCTCTGGGCATTTTGTTTCGAGGGGGGATCTTCCGTCAGAAAAGTCTCCTAACGTTCGAGGTCAATTGGAGTATGCCACAAAATTTATTTCTTTATGGAGGAAAAGGACCACCCCTAGAAACTCAGCTAAAAATGCCACAAAAGTCTCCTAACCTCTGGGTATAACGTTCGAGTTGGCGAGAAAGGATTATGGATGGAGGAAAAGGTAGTATTGCGGGCACCTTCCCCGGAAGAGAGTATCATGGACTATGCCGAGGGATTTTTGAACGTGTATACATACCCCTTTACGTTGGGTCCCCTTGATAAGGTTGTGCTCGACTTCTGTCGAAAGTACCAAGTTACCTTGGCACAGATTTACCTAGCATTTTGGCGGATAGTATTTGTAAGCACGAGATTTTGCCCTATGTGAGAATTACTCCCAAAAATTCAAAATAAAATAATTTTCCTTTGTGTGCAATATTGAGAATTTTCGTGGCATTTTTGATAATTATTTGTGTTTGTCCATGCATGTTTATTTGTTAAATTAATAAAAAAAATACAAAAATATGTTGCATTTGCATTTAGGATTTAATTCTACAATTAGGAGCAATTAAGTTTGTTTTTACAAGAAAAAAAATTATAAAAATATTGTACGTTGCATTTTTAGCATTTAATGTCCAAATTATGTGATTTTATCGTAATTGCTATTTAATTGTGTGTTAATTGTTATTAATAATTAATTAATACTTTTATAAATTAATTTAGTTCTATAGGATAATTTAGGATTTTTAGAATTTAGTTTTAGTTTAAGAAAAAATAAAAGAAGA